TAGCATTAATACAATTTTTTTTTATATTTTCTTTATTTTTTATTATAAAATTTAAAAAATTTTAGCTAATTTTAATTAGTCAATAATATGCAACTTACTATATAGTCACATGCTTAATTTTGATTGGCTATTCATATAGGGTCGCCATGGTGACATGTCACTATAAAATAACGCCCATAATTTAATTATATTATTTGTATAATTCTGTATTTGAACAAAGCAATAGATAAACAAGTTATATGCTTGCTTATATACTAGGAGTTTCTTTAGTATTAGCTTTAAATTTTGTTTTTTGTAATTTTTGTTATTAATTAGAAGAATTTAGCAATAACAAATTTACAAATCATTAAATATAAATATTAAATAATCAAGTTTAATAAGTAGTTTAGTTTATTAATTTGTAAAATTTATTTAATGATATTTTTATTATACCATATTTTATTTTTGTCATAAAAATAACTAATAAATCTTGAAGGTTTGAAATCAGAAAACTTATAATTAACAATAATATTAACTACTGAAATATATATGATATTTATATAAACTTTTTTAGTATTATTAGTTAGAATTTTTCTTCTAATAAAATTTAACTAATTCTAGCATTGATTAATAAACTGCTTCAAAAATATACTATATCAAAACTTTTAAAATTTTTACTTTTCAGAATAGCTTTTAAAAAACTTAAATATTCTTTTTTTATGCTATTAAAAGAATTTCAAAATAAGAAGCTTTAATATTACAACTTTTTAAAATATTATATTTTATAGAATAATACTATGTATTTTTTTTTATGTACTAATAAACTTTTTTCTTTTGGTTATATATAAAGATCAAGCTATTATATAAGAGTAATAGTCATTTATATTGTAATATAGAAAGCTAGCCTTGCTAACTATACTACTTGACTTAACATGCAGAGGGTAAAGAATATGATTAAAAATAATAAAAAAAAGCAACAAAGAATAACAAAAAGGCAATAAAAGAGAGTATATAATATAACAAGTATATAATTAAAAGGATAATATTTATTTATTAGAGAATAGTTAAGAAAATATAAGTTAGAACCTGGCAGAACCTAGCAGAACCTATCCTGCCTTGGGCAAAAAGACAGGGTTTTTATATCTTTTAGAACTCTATGTAAGAATGAATAATATTTTGTACCAACAGGTCTGTATCTGTGCCAATGGGTTTGTGTCAACGGGTCTGTACCAACGGGTCTGTACCAACGGGTCTGTGTCAACGGGTCTGTACCAACGGGTCTGTACCAACGGGTCCGTATCACAGGGGTGACAGATTATTATTTGTCACCTTCTATAGTTATATATCTTTAAACCTTAATAACTCGTTAACTATTAACCCGAATGACAAATGGTAAAAACTACGCTAAGGAAATCAATATCAAGGATTCCATTGGTGGAATCAGATTTGTACTACAATTAGAAGTTACACGGAGTTACCTAATAAAAATTTAAAAATACTAATATATCACTAATATAACAATAGGTTTTGGAGCAGCTAATTTCTAGTTTTTGATCTTTTCTCAATGTAGTTTGGCCATATTTAGCATGACTCTTGCCTCTATAGAGGCCTTTAACTCTTCACAGCCTTTTTTAATATGACCTTCCTTTTCACAATAATAGCAAATTTTTGGAGCTTCTTTCCATTCTGTAGTTACTTTATAATCTCTTATATATATGGTTCTTGGGATTCTTTTGATCAAATCTGAATCGTTAGTAGTTTCGAAGGTAAACAGCTATTGATCTGAGCAGATGGTGGTTTCTTCAAAGAGTAATGGTTTGATTGAGACTACTTGGCCTAGGTCTTGGAAGGTATCTAGAATAAGATCGCTTATTTGTTTTGTATTTCCTATTGGGATATTTCTTAGTTTTACTATAAGGAATATATGTCTTAAGTTGACTAGAATATGGCCAAAGAGTGTTTGTTTGAATAACGTAATACCTTTTGCTATATATAATTGAACTTTTTCTTTGCTTTTGAGGACCACCTCAAGGGCTAATTTTTTCTTTCTAGACATATGAGTTTTGGCTGCTAGCAAGTCTTTTCCAATACTCACAGCTAGAGCTATAATTATGTTGTTTGTTGGTATATTGATTAGGTTATGGATGTCTAGGATCAGAGCATTCTCATTCTTGGAATGTATTTTTTGTCTTGGAGAGGAGTTTGAGAAGATTGCTTTTCCTCCCTTCAATTTGGGAAAGAGGTCTGTCTACTGTTTCGGTTTATCTTCATTGTTTTGTTTCCTTTTGAGACCTGTGGGTTGTTTGGAGTTAGCATGTCATTTGGAGTGCTTGCAGAGAAGGGCTCTGGTTAGTTGTCCTTCAGCACGTGTTTGTTGTTAGACACGTGCTTGTTATCAGGTGCCTATTTGTTGTTTTTATTATTCGATATATGTTCTGTGTCTTTTGTATGCTTAATGTTTTCCAAGTTTTCATTATTGTTACGTGTTTCTCTTGAAGTCAAAAGAGTTTTGAGAGTTTCTGTTTGATATTTTTGCTCATTTTCCACTTGGTTTGCCCAATTTGTAGTGCTTTCCTCTAATTCAAAACTTGTAAACTTGTTAACTACAGGCTCTATCATAAAGGTTGTATTAGTCTTTGTTTTGTTGGCTTCACTGCCGAAATTTTTTGTTTCCTGGAAGGAAAAAATTTTGTTTTTATCTGAGTCCAGCTTAGTTTTCTTGTTTGCATATGACTTGCTTATAGTTGCAGTTTCTAGTTTGTGTTTCTTGATATTAAAGGCTTTTGCCTGTCAGAGTTTGTAGAAGGTGCTAGTGTTTTTTCTAGTAAAATTTTGTTTTTTTGTTTTACTGATTGTGAACCAGAAAGAGTTTTTTTTTATATTATTTTTATTTTTATTCAATTATTTTTATATATATTATTGTTCTTTATCAAAAACTAACTTTTAAGAATGTAAGAATAAATTATTACTTCTTTAGAGATTTCTGGAGTTACTTCTTCGAAAGCTATATTTTCTTAAACTAGCTCTTTCCAAACTAGCTTATTGTCAAAGCTAATATTAACTTTATTATTATTATTATTATTATTATTATTATTATTATTTTATTTTTATTTTTTATTTTTTAAGAAAAATCTTTTCTCTATTCTTTTATTTTAAAATATATAATATAAATACAACTTGTATTAATTTATATATTTAATGAAAGGGAGTAGAAGTTAGGGCTAACATTTACCCTCAACCTATTCTTAGCTAGAATGGTTAGAAAACCTCTAGATGATGTAATTTAAAAGGGGAGATATTGAATTGTAATAAATAAGATTGTTAAACTATAAGTAAGATTCTCTATTTACTAAACAAAGAGATGTATTGTTTTGATAAGATATAATTATAACTAGTAGTTTGTGATATTTTGTTGTATCTATTTTTGGCTTGGTTTTCAAATTTCTTTGTATATATTCTTAGTGATTATATAATAGAATAGATTAGCAAAGGATGTGGAGTATAAGATCGTAAGGTTATATCTGGTAGATAATAAGCTAGTTTGCAAGTTTTCATTCATAGTAGTGAAAAATAATTGTCTAAAATATCCCAGTAGAGGTTTGGTAAATTGGGAAGGTTAAGAAAATAAGAAGGTATATCTTGAAAATTAAAGTAGTTTTGTAGTTCTGCAGTAATGCTTTCAATTTTTTCTTATTTAGTAATTGGAATGTAAATTGTGTAGTGAAGATTTGTTTGCTCAAGGTAGGAAATAATTTCTGAAAGTTAAGATAGAAGTGAAGGTTTTTCTAAAGTATTGGGAGTAATTTGGATTTTGATTCATTCACTTGAAATTTAGTAGAAGAAGTAGTGTTTTCTCAAAAGTTAAGCTATATCAACTAGAGCTTTGGGGCTTCTGATTAGTATTGCTAGATTTACTTCAGTAATAAGGGTATATTCATTAGAAAGTAAAGGTTTGTTTGTAAAGTTGACAGTTATATAAGTAAGTGGGAGTGGGATATTGAATTTATATTTGTCTTGGATCTCTGCTATGGCTTGATAAGTATTAAAAATAGGAAAGTTGTAAGTTGTAGTTGTTTTAATAAAGTATGGGTCTACTGGAAGTAGTTTTTTTTGTACAGAGAAATCATTAGAAATATAACAAAAGCTGTAATGTTTTCTAAGAGTATCAACATATCTATGAAATTTGGAAGTATCAGTTGGATTACAAGGAAACAGATAACGAATAGCTGAGATAAGATTTTGAAGAGTTGATAGAAGCTAGAGTTTTGCTTCTAGTAAGTTAAAGTAATTGAAAGGTATTTTTCTACTATATAGTATTTCATTAATTTTGAGCAGTATTTGAAAAAAAATAGCAATCTAGCCTGTTCTGTAATTAGGAAGAGGTTCTGGATTTCGGCATAAAATTTAGCAAGATCATTTGGGAGTAGTTAAAGAATAGTAAGAAAGTAGCTATCAGGAAGCTTTTTAAAAATAAAAATTTTTTGTAGAGCTAATATAGTTGCTCGAGTAAGTTTGCAATCTTGAATTGGTAGTGGAAAGGAAAGAATTTGTTGAATTGGTCAATCTATCTCGAGTGGATTTTGAGATAAAGAGATAAGTAATATAGAATAAACCTTATTGATCAAGCTACATAGCTCTTCAAAACTAAGAGTATAGTTTATTTGTACAAAGTTGAGACAGTAGATAATTATTCGAGTACAATTATGTAGTCTGTTGGTAAGGAAGTTTGTATGATATATGAAGTCTAAGACTAGTTTGGCTTTGAGTTTTGTAAAAATTTAATTTCTGTTAAATTTGTTTATAAAGCGAACATTATATAGCTTTTTGTATCTTTTTACTGCTATTTGTAATAGTGAGTTGAATTCTTTTTGATGTTGTGGTTAGGTTTCTTTGTTTTTTATAAATGATCGAAAGAAAGTTAAGTCCAAGTATTTTAATTTTGGTTTAATTGTATTCAGTAGATTATATTGAGTTAGATTGGTTTAGATTTTGTATTAAAAGAATTTTAAAAGCAGCTTAGAAGATAAAAAGGCATTAATAATCATATCATTGCTTCAGACTATTGTATCGAAGTTTAGTATACATGCTTTTGCTAATATGATAGTAATAAAGTTACACTAGGTAAATAAGCGGTCATTCTTAGTATATTTCATTTTTGGAAGATTAGAAGTAAGTGCATCACTATATGTCTTCTTTGGAGATGTGAAAGATTTAGTAGATGCATTAGATTGGGTATCTATGTAGTTATCTATATCTTCATTTGATTGGGTTTGTTATATAGAGTTGTTAGTAATTGGTAATTGTTGGACCAAGCTACAGAGGTTGTCTTGGATGAGGTCTGGGAATGGATCAGGTGTGTTATGATGATTAGTTACCATACTTGTGTCCTGGAATCCTAAAACAGTGTTGTACATTTTGGCTATCCAAAGCCTTTTTTAACTTGTTCATATCCAAAATTGTCCAAGTGTTCAAAATTGTCCAAAGCTTGTCTAGGCTTTAATAATTAATAAATCTGTCTAAAAAATATATAACTATATATTTTTTTAGATGCTAAATTCATTTTAATTAAAATTAAAATAGGTTATCTTAATAAAATTTTAAGTAATTTTACTTTATTTAATTGTTCAAAATTGTTCAAAATTGTCTAAAGTATTGTTCAAAGCTGTCCCATGACAATACTGTCTAAGGTATTTATATTATTTCCCATGCTTGTTTGTTTGTTTAGATTATTTCCCATACTACTTTGTTTGTTTAGATTATTTCTCATATTTGTCTGTTTGTTTTAATTAGATAATATTATCAATATTTTTTTTCTACCGAATATGAAGATGAAAATTTAGAAGAAAGAATTTATATACTTTCTTTACAAAAAGAAATAGAAGAAGATAATCTACAACAAATGTGTCCTTACTGTTACCAAAAGTCAAAAAAAGAATGGAAAGAAATTCAAAAAATATTATTTACTTTTCATGAAGATAAAATTGAAAATTCATTTAACTCATCTATAAAGTTGCATATAGGAGAAATGAACAAACAACAACAAGACAAATTTTATGATCTTGTAAATGAGTATATTGATATTTTTGCAAAAAGTGATTTAGATCTTGGGAAAACAAATGTTATTCAACACGAAATAGAAGTTAAAAACAATATTAAACCTATAAAACAACAATTTTATCGAACCTCTCCTAAAGAATCAGACTTTATAAAAAAAGAAATTCAAAGAATGCTAAAACTTGACCTTGTCCAACCTTCTAAAAACTCTTGGGCCTCGCCTGTTGTAATAGTGAAAAAGAAAAATGGCAAACTATGTTTTTGTATAGATTATAGAAAATTAAATGCAGTAACCAAGAAAGATAGTTACCCTTTGTCTAGAATTGATGAATTATTAAATATACTACAAGAATCTGGATAGTTTACTTCTCTTAACCTTGCAAGCAGTTACTAGCAAGTAACAATGGCCTCAAAAGATATTTTAAAATTGCATTTACCACTTGACATGGACTATATAAGTTTAAAGTTATGCCATTTAGATTAACCAATGCACCTGCTACTTTTCAATGCCTTATGAATAATATATTACATGAATATCTTTGGAAATTTGTTGTAATATATTTAGATGATATTAATATCTTTTCAAAAACATTTGATGAACATATTCAACATCTTCGTTTAGTCTTTGAGTATATTCGAAAAGCCAATTTAAAATTACAACTTGAAAAATGTTTCTTTATAAAAAAGGAATTAACCTTTCTTGGATATATCATTAGCAACAGAGGAATCTTTCCTGACTTTAGCAAAATTAAAAAAGTTAAAAATTATCCTCCCCCTAAAACTTTAACCCAACTATGTACTTTTCTTGAATTGGCTTCATATTATCGAAGATTTATTAAAAACTTCTCTAAAATTGTAACCCCAATGAATCAACTTCTCAAAAAAGATATCAAATTTGAATGAAAAAATGAATAACAACAAGCATTTGAAATTATTAAAGAAAGATTAACCACTGCTTCTATATTTATTTTTCCAAATTTTGAAGAAGAATTCTTCTTATATACTGATGCTTCTATCTTTGTCCTTGGTGCTATTTTATCACAAAAAGGAAAAGATAACAATGAACATGTTATTGCTTATGCTTCAAGAACACTTAACAAAGCTGAACAAAACTACTTAGCCACAGAACTCGAATGCTTAGCTGTTGTCTGGGCAATTAAACATTTTCACCCCTATATATATGGACAAAAATTTACTATTATTACTGATCATTCTGCACTTTGTTCTCTATTCAAAATTGCTACTTTTACTAGACATCTAGCTCATTAGATTATGAAATTACAAAGATATGATTTCTCTGTACAACATAGAGCTAGAAAAATACATAAAAATGCTGATGGGCTATCCAGACTCCATCAACAAAATTAAAATTTCTTTTATTTATAAATAAATAAATATTTATTTCTTTTTTTATTTTTATATTATTTATTACTATGGATATCTCTACTTACAATCTTATCTTTAACTATCTTCAAACACTTAACTTTCCTTCTACTATAGCCTCTACTCAAAGAACTAATATTAAACACAAATCTTCTTTATATTTTATCAAAAACAATTTATTA